TCCTGCCATTTATTATTTAAATGTTCTAAATTATTTAACTTTACATAAAGCTATGATGAATTCTAAACCTTTCTTTTCGAACAACACAAATCTAAATTATGTAAAGAATTCGATTCATTTGATTTAGCGGTTGATGAATATTATTCTTCTATGGAAAGTCAAAAATTAATTATAAAGCAGAGAAATCAAGAGAAGGCTGCGTTAAGCTATCAATAAAGAACAATATTCAAGCGTTGAAAATAGTTATCAAATATTCGCAAAGCTAAATTAATTGAAAGTAATGTGGATATGATAGATCAAGCAATTTGAAATGCAATTGCTATTAAATGGAAAGATTATGAAAAGTTAGTACTAGAAGAAAAGAAGAAAAACGGAAGTATTCGTTGGATTTAAATTGCAATCTAACCAGATACCTTATTAATGAGGTATTTTATAGTTAATCCTATTTAAATATGAGATTGGAATTAATCAAATATTATACTTATAATTATTTAACGTATATATTATAAAACTTTAGAGAATACGAAAAGATGATGAGGCATTTTATGATTCTTCTGATACTGAATCCGAAAATAAAAACAATAACCCCAACAAATAGTACAAGAAAAAGCTAATGTTGCATTTATCAGTATTTGCGAATGCAAGAAAGTACTATAATGTCAAAAAGCAATCTGTTTTTAAACTAGTTAAAACATTAGTTGCAGCGGATAAAATATAAATATAACGTAAAGTTTTTATACTATATGTTTATTTTTTTTTCTTTGATAGCCTTCAAAAGTGCCGAACAGAAAAATTAAGCAAGATCTTAAGGAGACGAAAATTACAACGTCTATCAACAAGAAACGTAAACCGTTATAGAAAAGTGTATTTGGTTTATTTCTTCAGAACTTATCTTGTTATTGCTGGACATGACATGCAACAAAATGAGCTGATAGTTAAAAACATCTTCGTAAAGGTATTTAAAATATTTTAATCATCGTTTTTATTTGCAAACTTTCAATATTAGTTTTAATTTATTACAATCCTTATAGGGAATTTGTATTTTATGTTCATGCTGATTTGCATGATGCTTGCATCAGTTGTAATAAAAAACCTAATGAGGGTCAACCAATATCCCGAGCAGCTTTTCAAGCTGAAATTATGTCTGTTTGTCAAAGCAAGACATGGGAGGCTAAAATTATAACAAGCGCCTTTTGGGTTAATGTAGTTCAAGTTAGTATATTATTTAAATTTTTAAAGTGCATCAAATTTTTTATTACAAATTTATTTCAGGTTTCCAAATCACTCTAATAGGAGAATATCTAACAAAGGGTTCTTTTATGATTTGAGGTAAAAAAAATTTCTTGCTACCGGTTCAATTGTTTTATGGTGTTAGCTTGGTAACTGTAAACAAAAATGATTTATTTTTAATCCAATACGTCAAATTAAATACAATAATTTTATCACAATTATGCCTATATGAAGACATGACAAAAGATAATAGCAAATTAATTAATAAGATTCCTCCATTGAACTCTTAGATTATCCTAAAACCCTATCTCAAGTTACTTTTCAACTCAAGGAAAAATACAAGATATTTATACAAACACTAATAATAAAATATAACAAATAAAATAAAAATGATAAATATAATAACAAATAAATATAATAAATTTATAATATATAATAACACTAAATAGACTAAACTATCAAATTTAACGAATATAAATATATGATAACAGCTTCAACAGTTTGATTTCCTTTTTCAATTGGATGAAAAAGCATTTGCATGAACGTCATACAATAAGAAATGAAGAAGAATAATTGGATGATAATATTCAAACACTAAGAAAAGTATGTGATTTATTTAAAGTGATTTTTTATTATTTAACACCATATACAGTTTATGCTATATAGATATTGGTCAGGTGATTTCACTTTATATAGTAGAAGCTATAACCATTTACAAAAGAAAGGAATAGGTATAAATTTGGTTAGCTTCCTGCAGGAACTATGGGGGCCATTTTATTATATTGATATATTAATATTAATATCAATATCAATTTCAATTTCAATTTTATTATATATATATGATTGAATGGGAGATAGCTATATTAGTCACAAGACTGAATGATTGGATGAAAATGGATCATACAGTGGCTATTTTACCAATCAATAAGGGTCTCATGACCAATATAGCCCCATATCTAATAAAAGTATTATTATTCAGACATTCTTAATCATACTGATCTTAAAAAATTAATCTTTTTTAAACTTTTTTTAAATTAAATTTTTTTGCTAAACTTTTATTAAATTTTATTTACTTCCACGCTTTCTTTCTTCTTAAATAATTTATTTTAAAAATGTTATGTAAAAAGTTCAAAAATTCTGTATATAATTTTTTTTGTATTTAATATACGTGATATAAGTATTTATTTAATTTTAATTTAAAAAGCTATAGAACAAAAAAAATGTTGATTTTTATAAAGAATTAAACTAAGTAAAGAATACTAATTATATTACTAATAATTGTGTAAAAGCTTTAAAAAATTTTCATAAAAATTATAACAGAAAAATAAAAGAAATTAGTGATATAAATGAATTAGATTAGCAATTAGCAAAATATATTGCACCAATGAAACAAAAAAATGGAGAAGAATATACAACAAGTTTTATAAATGCTTTAATTATTTCATCTGATAATTTTAGCTAAAGAAATGATCTAAATCTCAATCTAACCTAAAACTGCCTAAATCAAATAAATAAGATGAAATAAATAAAATTAGTAATCCAATTAATTACCAAAATAAGAAAAGAAAATAAAACAATAAATTAAAAAAATTAGTCAGCTTATCTTAACCACAATGACGAACTGGTTAGTTCTATTCAAAGGTTCTTTCCAATTTTTAGCCAACTGATCAAACCTAAAAAAGCAAATTAATTACCAAAATAAAAAAATAAAAAAAAATTAAAAAAAATTAGTCAGCTCACCTTAGTTGTGATGATGGATCAGTCAGTTCTATTTCAAAAGTTCCATTTGGTTCTTAGCTAAAGCGAATGAACTGATTGAACTTAAAAGTAAATAAATAAATTAATAAATTATTAATAATAATTTATTAAAAAAAAATTTATTATTATATATAAAAAAAAAAGAAAATTGATAGCTTATCTTTATTACAGTAATAGACTAATCAGTTCTACTTTGAAGGTTTTATTCCTAAGTGAAAGACCCAATTGAACCTAAATAGATAAAAAAACAAATAAAAATAAAAAATATAATAAAAAAATAAATAAATTAAAAAAAAAAAAAGAAATCAAATAATATCAATGGCTTACCTTTGCCATAGTAATAGACTAGTTAATTCCAGTTCAACAATTCTATCCAGTTCTTAGCCTAGATGGAGAAAAGGAACTGATCAAACCTAAATAACTAAAAAACAAATATAAATAAAATATTAATATAAAATAAATAAAATAAAATAAAATATTAAAAAAAAATAGAAAAGAAAATTCATTGAGCACTTATCTTTGTCATATTAATAAACTGATCAGTTCTATTTGATAGTTTTGTTTAATTCTTAACCAAAGTGAAGGAACTGATCGATCCTAAAAAATAAGAAAATAAATATTAAAATAAAAAATATTTAATAAACATAAAAAAAGAAATGAGAAAATTGACAGCTTACTTTTGTTAAGATAATAGACTAGTCAGTTCTATTTTAAAGATTCTGTCTGATTCTTAGCTAAAGTGGAGATACTAATCAATCCTAAAAAAAAAATAAACATTAAAGTATTAAAAAATAAATAAAATAAAATATTAAAAAAAAATAATTAAAAAAGAAAAAATATTGATCGCTTACCTTCATTGTGATAATAAATTAGTCAGTTCTGTTTGATCTTAATCAAAGTGAAGGAACTGATTGATCCTAAAAAATAAAAAATCATTGATGATTTAACTAGATAAATAAATAAAATTAGTAATTAAAACAAATTATCAAAATAAAAAAATAATATAAATTAAAGAAAATTAATCATCTTACCTTTGCCATATTGATGATCTATTTAAAGATTTTATCTGATTATTAACTTAAGAGATGGCAGAAATGAAACTAATCTAACTTAAAATAAAATAAAATTTTAAAAAAAATTATTATTTAATTGAAATTAGTCAGTTTACTTTTGACGTAATGATAAACTAGACAGTTCTATTTGAAAGTTCTGTTCAGTTTTTAGCCTAAGAGAAGGAACTGATTAAATTTAAAAAAAAATAAAAGAATAAATAAAATATTAAAATATTAAAATAAATAAATATAAACTAAAAAAATATAATAAATAGCTTACTTTTACTGGTCGAAATCAAAAAAATCGGACATGCGAAAATCGGCCTAAAATCATCCTAAATTTGGCTTAAATTCGGCCTAAATTCGGCAAATTATCAAAATCAGCCTAGCCGATTGGCATACATCAGAAATCGGCCAAGAATCA